AACTTGTTAAGTAAAACTTGTGTATTATTAACATTGAATGTCAATTTGTTCTGCTAGCTACTTGTTCCTTCCTGGATCTTGAGCTCAACAGAAATTTGATATTCTCGATTGTTTCTCTTTGATAGGGCGCGAGCTTTGCAGAGATTATTCAAATGACTGACATATTTGAGGGTAGCATCATTAGGAGTGCTAGAAGGCTCGACGAGTTTTTGAACCAGGTAACATCACCAAACTCTATGTATTACATTTCTGTAAACCTCTAGGAAATCTGATGACACTTTGATTGGAAATTTCTTCAGCTTCGAGCTGCAGCGGATGCAGTTGGAGAAAGCAGTTTAGAGAGCAAGTTTGCTGCTACTAGCGAGAGCTTGCGACGAGGTATTATGTTTGCAAATTCGCTCTACTTGTAAGTGCTCTCTTGCCATGAGACACAACAACATCGCTCCTTAGAGAAATGCTTGTTTGTACTTGCCAATGTACTCATTGATCTCGAATCACGATAGCTCTTTGTTTGTCAACAAGTTAGATAATGATGAAATTTGCAGAGCTCGTAAGGTATATGATTATATTCTAAGTTAACCAGTTTGAGGCTGGGATGGCTTGGTAGTTTCAACAGTGGTTTTGCTCTTACTTGCATGAATCAGGTTTCAACAGAATGAATCTTAGAAATTTTTATGGTGACCAAATCTTCTTAGAAAGTGGACTGCCAAATAATTTTAAACAAATCTTTATAGTAATCGACTTCTCGTTGGAATATGGATCTGTATTAAGCTTCAAACCTTCCTCTTGACTAGGGGATTCTTCATCTTTTCACGATAAAAACATGATGATGAGTTTTCCTTATTCCTTCTTCGGTTCTTCCTCGACTTGTTTTCTCTACCCTACTCTTTCCTCAAGATGTTGTGCTGTTATTGCAACTCTCATCATATGCATACTTGTTGAGAGATTGGTCGCTTATTATCTCCTGAAAATAAAAACAAAAGAAAAGAGGAAAGAAGATGGTTTAGTAATCAAGACATGTTTCCATATAATTTGAAGTGAAAATAAGTTTTATTTGCTTTGATGTATTTACTTGGATTGAAGTTGTGGATGCTAGATTGTCCGTTTGGCTGTTATTCCGGCTGCTTTTACGTGATAAGCATGTTTTTTTCTGCTAAATCCATGAGCCTTTTAAGCTCAGGCAACACAACATTTCCCAGGTCAGGTCTATCTTTCCGCCTTAATGCTGCGCATTGTAAACCGAGTTTTGCTAATACTAAGGCCTCTTCAAGTGGCCAATCAGCAACAACAGGGTCTAGTACCTCAGAAAAATTTCCTTCCTCAATTGCTCTCTCAACCTGACTTGTCAAGCCCATTGGTGGCTTGGCTGTAAGTATTTGCAAGAGCATAATCCCGAATGAGTATATGTCCGATTTGGTTCCAAGCATACCAGTTTGTTGGTATTCTGGATCAATATAACACAATGTTCCAGCAGCGGACGTCATTCTATAATGTGATGCGATGTCATCAACCAAGGGAGCTGGGACAAGCCTAGCCAACCCAACATCAGAGATCTTGCTGACCATGTGCTGGTCAAGTAATATGTTTGCTGGTTTCAAGTCGCGGTGCACTAGTGGCTCTGGTTTTAGCTGGTGAAGGAAATTAAGACTCGTGGCGATTTCAGCTGCAATGCGGAATCTTAGCTGCCATGAAAGCACTGGAGAGTTGCCTCGTCTAAGGAGACGATCTTCTAAGCTACCATTGGCCATGTATTCATAGACTAAACACCCGTATTCCGCGCAGGCTCCAAGCAGCAGAACCATATTTGGATGTCTTATACAGGTCAAGACTTCCACTTCTTGCTGGAACTGTGATCTTCCTTGTGTTGCATCCGGTCTCACAACTTTTATCGCCACTGGTGTGTAATCTAGAATACCCTTGTAAACAGGTCCATAACCGCCTTCTCCAATCTTGTGACTATCTGAGAAATTTTCTGTTCCTTCTTCAATCTCCTCAATCGTGTATTTTCTATACATTCTATCACTATGAGTTAAAGAATGCATTTCTTTATTGTTATCATCGACTTCTCTCAGAGCTGCCGTTTCGATTTGCTTTCTCTTTTGAGCTTCGATTTCTGCCATTCTATGAGCTGCCGCTAATGCTTCCATAGCTGCTCTGCTCTTTGCCTTCTCATTCTCTGCTATTGCCAGCGCTGCTTCTTTGGCAAGTATTGCTTCTTCTAGTTTATGTTTTCTTTCCTCTTTCCACTTGTGTAACTCAGTAGTCTGGAAAAACATAGATTCATGTCTTAACATCATATAAATGGATGATTATTTCAAGAATATATGTATATGTATGTATGTATGTAGTTATATATACCGTCTTCTTAGCTGCGATTGCCTCTTTGCATGCACTACTATACATGTCCATTGTATACTTTAGCTCTAGTTTTAGCCTTCTCATCTCAGATTCTACATCATCCTGTAAAAGTTTATAGAGTAATCAATAAATATTAATTAAGGCATGAAAAAATGTGATTAGTAAATTAGTTTTCTTAATTTACCTGGCTATGCATTGATAATGAGGAGAGTCTCCCACTTTCTTGTGAACTTGTGGAGAATGCAGAATAAGAAGAACCCAAATCTATGGACTGCTTATCTGATGAGCTTGAGGATGTAGCAAAGCTGTCTCGGTTGTCTTCAAACTCTGAACTAACCGAGAGGCGAGACGTTGGGAAAAACCAATCCACGCTTGGCCTATCACTACTCATAAACGATAAGTCGGAGTCTGTCACTGAGGCTTGGTATGTCCCTTGATCATATTCTTTTCTCAAATATGGACACCTATTCATATTATTATCACTCAGTTGCATGCAAAAGATTATAAAATATCATAAGCATGTTGGTAAATTATCAGGATCAAAACATACTTGATCATCTCGATCTCGTCTTGTGTACTTTCCACTGATTGAAGCCTTCTCTCAGTTCTAGGACTGGAGTTGTTGTTGCTGGCATTGCTCGCCCGAGCTGGTAATTGTGGACGTATTGTGCAAAGTGGAGGAGGTGAAGAGGTAGCTGATCTAACGGACGAGATTTTACCTTTAGAGATTGCATAAACTGTACAGAAATTGGGTGCTCCTTTCATCACTGCGCTTGTAACATCTACCGCTTTGAACCGTCTATCGCAACACACACACATTTATTAAATATAAGACATTTTTTGTATTGACAAGAAGAGTAAATAACAAGAAGATATCTTCTTACTTTAAAAGAGTCATCTTAGATGCACCGAGTACTAGAATATCGATTGCATTCTCTTGCACATACTCTATGATTCCTTTTGCAGCATCATCGTCTTCCAATACTACCTCTTCACAATTTATCTGTCAACAATACTCTCAATCTTTAACATTTTTGACCATCCCTCTCCCTAATTACTTATTAACGAATAAATTAACCTAATGATATTAATAGAAATTTATGTGTTTTTAAGTGATAGTTTCGATAGATAATGTTTTCATGTGAGAATCACGATAATACTTCAAACAAATTGATCAAGCGGGGCGCAAGGGCGCAAAACTCACGTCTTTTCTAGTGCAGAAACAACGGAATGGAAGAAACAATTCCTTAACGTCATCTCCAGACTTATTTGGTTGAGTCCCTACATCAACATTATGATGTTTTATTCAAAGGTAAATTTGAAACAAAGTTGATTAGAAAATGTAGAAATGGGCATTAAGGGATTACCATTATTAGCAAGGGTTTGCTTGACTCTGACATGGACAAGAGTAAGAGTCTCTCCTGGTGTCAAAAGATTATCAACAGCCCATTTCAATGCAGCCTGACTTCCTTTGTCTCGATCGATAGCAATTGCGACGCTTTCGTCTCTTCGCTCACCGTTTACCATCTTCACCATTTCCAAAAACTCTTGCAAAAAAAACAGGATTTCTACAATTTGGTTATAAATGCAAGATATTGGGTTACAAAGGCGTTGGAAATATATGCCAATATTAGCAAATAGGCAAGATACAACCAGCTTTTTAACTCTCTTTTCGGTTATGTTTTGTTGCCTTCCATCGTGTCTTTTCTAGTTCTTTTTGTTGTAGGAAATGCTGTTATTTTATAACTGAGATAATATTTTGCATATCTCGAGCTGTGTTTGGTGGTAACTTAAAACTGTAGTAAATTTATACACATCTTTCATTAGCATTCATGCTTTCTATTTTTATCTAGTTCTTATCCAACTTCTATACATTGTATTCGCATATGTAACTTTCTTTCATCAATAACAAAATATTTACTAAACGAAACACATTACTCTTTTCCAGTGGCGGACCCAGGAATTATCCTTTCCAGTGGCGGACCCAGAAATTATTTTTACCTGGATCATAATTTTATATTGAAGATGTAAGAAATAAAAATTACTCAAATATTGTCAGTGAGCAGCCTCGAACCCGAATTAAGGGGTGTCAAGAGCAAGGGATTTGCCAACTAGAATGCTAATCCATAGACAATATGTTCACGGGTGACATGATGTTTTCTAAAATTTTCGAATCTTTTGATTTTAGAAAATAATATTAATAAGTAAAAAAATAATTATTATAATTCATCATATTCATATTTCATTATGCCCTAAAAAGAAAATATTTTTTTTAAAAAAATATTACTTATTTACTTATGTTAAAAAAAAAATTAAACATATAAGATATTACTTATTTTATTTAGTACTTATTGAATGTAGCAGATTTATAGTTGATTATGTAAACTGCAATTTTTTACATGCATGTGCCACTTCAATATGTTTAAAACGTTTTGACACATGACATTCATATGTCGATGGTTTATATATATTGTATTGGCTACAAACCTCATGCATGATATGTTCAACGTCGAAAAACCATATTAGTCTATTATTCCCATCCATGTGGAAGGAAATATAAGAAAAGTAAATCAAAAAAGAAAAAAAAAACACCATAGAAACAGGAAGTGTCTAAAGTTCCACCACATATATATCTCTAAGTGACTTTCTCAAAAACAAAGACTTCGTCAACACAAACTTTCTTTTGATAGACCACAAATATTTCTTGTGTTTGTCTATTCTTGGTATGCTTTGATACAGACCTCTCTTCTTCATCACTTGCTCTCTCTCTCTTTCTTTCTCTTTCGCTCCTCTGCCATTTCATCCCATCTCAGATTATCGTCGTCTTTGGTCATCTCCAGAGACTCTCCTTGCATCTTCCTTTAGAGGGCGCGCCTCCCGTGCGCCTTCTTTTACTGGTTATGGAATCCACATGTCTCCTCTTCTTTTCCATTGTATCTATCTTCTTCGTGGCTGCTCATGGCTTATCAGAGACCGAATCTCTCTTGAAATTCAAGAATTCTCTTGTTATTGGGAGAGCAAATGCTTTGGAGAGCTGGAATAGAAGTAATCCTCCATGCAAATGGACTGGTGTCTTGTGTGATAGAGGCTTTGTTTGGGGATTACGACTAGAGACTTTTGAGATCTCCGGCTCTATAGACATCGAGGCGTTGATGGATTTGAAGTCTCTAAGGTCTCTTAGCTTCATAAACAACAAACTTAGAGGTCCATTTCCAGAGTTCAAAAAACTTGTTGCTTTGAAATCACTTTACTTGTCAAACAATCAATTCGACGTAAAGATACCTAAGGATGCATTTGATGGGATGGGGTGGTTGAAAAAACTCCATCTGGAGAACAATAATTTTAGTGGTGAAATTCCAACGTCTTTGGTCAAAAGTCCTAAGCTTTTAGAGCTTAGACTTGACGGGAACCGGTTCACTGGACAAATACCGGAATTCACACATCAACCACACATGTTAAACCTTTCAAACAATGCATTGGCAGGTCAAATCCCAAATATTCTCAGTACAATGGATTCAAAATTGTTTGAAGGTGAACCAATTTTATTCATTTTTGTTATAAGTCTAAACAAACCACAATATATAATTATTTTTTAAATATAGAAAACCATGTTTTTTTCTTTGGCAGGAAACAAAGGCTTATGTGGGAAACCTTTGGATACAAAGTGTACTTCTTCTTACATTCTTTCCCCAGAGCCTAAGTCAAGCCCCAAGAAAAAATCATTTAAATTTTTGTACATTGTAGCTGTAGCGATAGCAGCACTGGCTGCATTACTCGTAATTATTGGATTGATCATCTTCCTTTACCGGAGACGAACTAAGAAACAACCACTATTGTCAGCAGAACCTGGACCATCAAGTCTACAAATGAGAGCTGGAATCCAAGAAAGTGAAAGGGGACAAAGTAGCTACCATTCACAAAACCGCGCTGCAAAAAAGATGATTCATACCACAAAATTGTCATTTTTGAGGGATGACAAGGGAAAATTTGAGTTGCAAGATTTGTTGAAAGCATCGGCAGAGATTCTAGGAAGTGGATGTTTCGGAGCATCGTATAAGACACTGCTTTCGAACGGATCAGTGATGGTAGTGAAGAGGTTTAAACATATGAATAAGGCAGGAATTGAAGAGTTCCAAGAACACATGAAGAGGTTGGGGAGGTTAAACCATGAGAATTTGCTCCCCATTGTGGCTTATTACTATAAAAAAGAGGAAAAGCTTTTTGTTTCCGATTTTGTTGCGAATGGAAGCTTGGCTGCTCATCTACATGGTATAATTTGCTTTTCTCTCTTTACATTTTCATTAGCAAAAACTACTACTAAATCATTTTTTGCTTATGATTTGTGTTTTTTGTTCTATGTATAATTTTAGGTCATAAATCTTTAGGGCAACCAAGCTTGGATTGGCCAACAAGATTGAATATTGTGAAAGGTGTAGGAAGGGGACTTTTATACCTCAACAAAAACCTACCTAGCCTAATGGCTCCTCATGGTCATCTAAAATCATCTAATGTTCTTCTCAGTGAGAAATTTGAGCCTCTTCTTATGGACTATGGCTTGATCCCAATGATCAACGAAGAGAGCGCGCAAGAGCTCATGGTGGCTTACAAATCCCCAGAGTACTTAAAACAAAACCGTGTGACCAAGAAAACCGATGTTTGGGGGCTCGGGGTACTAATCTTGGAGATTCTTACAGGAAAGTTACCTGAAAGTTTCCCGCAAATCGATAAAGAAAGCGAGGAGGACCTAGCCAGCTGGGTGAGGTCGATGTTTAAAGGAGAGTGGACACAGGAATTGTTTGATCAAGAAATGGGGACAACAAGCAATTGTGAAGCACATATACTCAAACTCTTGAAAATTGGACTGAGTTGTTGTGAAGTAGATGTGGAGAAAAGGTTAGATATAAGAGAGGCTGTTGAGAAGATAGAAGATATGATGAAGGAGAGAGAACAAGGAGATGATGACTTCTACTCAACATATGCGAGTGAAGCTGATGGGAGATCATCGAGGGGAGTGTCAAGTGAGGGAATTAACTTGTCATGAAAATGAGATCGACAAAGCCAGCAAGTAAATTTTCATGCAAGAGTTGTGTCTTAAAACCACAACTTGGTTGGACATAATTGATGTCGACACCTCAATATACGGGATCCCTTAACGTAGAAAAAAGTTGGTTTTGAGTTGACGTGTGATGTTATTGTGGGAATTTTATCTGCAAGAAAATAATGTAGAGGACAAGATCTTTCTTACTTTTTAACCAAAAAGCAAGAGACAAACCCAAAAAAAAGCAAGGGAATATGTAGAAACTAACCATGAAAAAGAAAAGAATTAAGAAAATAGCCATGATGTACAGTATCTTGTCGGATGAGCATATAAAATTACTTAAATATCTTTTTCTCATCTTCTACCTCTCATTTCTCTCTCATCCAAAAACACAATTTGTGATCGTCTTTGCCAGAACAACTCCGATTCAATCTATAGTCCGAAGTTTCGCCAGAAAATTGATGGTTTTGTCTCTCCCTTTCATTGAATCTCTGCCTTCGATCTCCCTCCTCATAACGGTTTCTCTCTCCCATCAGCGGTCATACTTCTCTCCGTGTTATTTGATTCTCTATCTTACGCCTAATCTCTACCGGATTTATGTTGCTAGTTTATCTTTCTCGTCGAATTTTTGTGCTAACAGTATCTCACTTTCTTCCTTGGAACTCCGCCGCCGAAGATATCTCCATTGTTCGCAAGTTTTACTTTTCCAGAATTTGTGTATTTTTTCTCGAGGCACCGGTATCTTTCCGTTTTACACACGATCTTTCAATATGCCATGCGATTTTTTCTTTCGACATGCTATTTTACAAAGATACATGAGATTTTTCCAAATTACAAGTTGTTTCTTTCGTTATTTTTATTTGATTCATGTCATTTCTAAAAATTTCATGTTTCTTAAAAAAACCGTCATCTCTATATCTACAGTCATTGCCACCATAACCACCTCCCTCACAACGACCACCATCATCACCGGATCCTCTGCTTTTATCGTGACTTGATCTCAACACCTTAAAGGCTCTCACTCTACCGTTGACATCAACATCTCTTTCACATAGTATCAATCAAATTCACATAATGACTAATCAACAACCATCAAACTCTCTTCTATCGACATCTACATATGTTCCAACAAAATCATAATGATATTATTTTATTTAATAAGATATTCTTTCATATGACATGCTATTTATTTTCAAATGAAATGCTATTGTTTCTCAACACGCTATATTTTCTGAAATGGCAAGCTATTGTTTCTTTTGACAGACTATATTTTCTGAAAACACTGTAGTTTTCACAAATTTCAAGTTATTTTAGTGTTTTTCTTCAAATCTCGTGTTATTTTTATTTAATACATGTCATTTAATAAATTATCAGCATCTGTTTATCTTCTTTCTTTATCTCCGCTGCCAAAGTTCTTGTCTCTTATCGGATCTTCTCCACCATCACTTCTTCTGCTACCATTTCCTTCACGGTGGCCACTACTATTGTATTGACCTCAACCACCACCGCATCTACTAGATCTATAACCTCATGCGTTAATGAATCTCGACAACACCACCTTCACCCAAATTTGTAATTTTTGCTATTTATATATTTTTGATCCTTCACTGCGACTTCCTCCTTCTTGTTCACCATCATCGCCGTTGTCAGATTTTACACTGGAATTATAATTCTAATTATCGTTGCAAGTCTCGTCTTCTCTATATAATTGAATTGTGTTGTAATTAAGAAAAAAGATGGTTGGCTACACGAAGTATCCGCGAAGACATGACCACACATGCAAAGTTTAATAATGGATCTTAAACTACATGAACTATATGTATCGCATGCCCCACATATACGAACTATATGTAGTCATGTCGCCAACATCACGAACATTTTTTTCCGGTACACTTTTCGCCGGAATCCGGCATTGACCAGTTTGACCGGCGTTGACCAACATAAATATTAAAAAGAAAAAAAATTAGTTTTTTAATATTTAGAAAATTATGTTATTGAATCATTTATAATATTGTATAATTAAAAAATATATACAATATTCAATATAAAAATATTTTGTATATATATTCAATGTATTGATTTTTATAATTAGTTAGTTTCAATAATTTCAAAGGAATAATTTGGTATTTGTGCTACCCATACCCCACATTAAAAAGAGTTAGTTTCCAAAAAAATCTGACACATGGTTAGTTTCTTAATTTTTGTGTAGAATTTAGCTATTTGCTAATATTAACCAAAAAAACAAACCAATTTTTTTTTATAAATAATGTACTCAAAATTTGTACTACATAGGACGTACGTAGACTCACATCGAATCTCTTTTCCAGTTGTTTCTACATATTCTCTGCCAAGATCGGACGTAGACTCACATGGAATCAAACTATTTAAACCGATTTAGTTTAGTTAGTGAAATTTAAATAGTTCGGTTCAGATCCAAACCCAGGGCCCTAGGTTCCATGGAATCAAGAGCGGGTACGCGGAAACGAAGCGTTTGGAAACGTGGAAACGATTTTTTTAGAAATTTTAGGAAATGGGTATGTGTTGGAAGCGTATATAGAAATTAATATATATATATATATATATATATATATATAATTAACCACACAAATTTAATACATAAATTTTCAATACTTCCACCACAAATTAAAAAATTAAATAGTTTATTTTTACAATAAAAAAAAATAGTTCAAAATCAAAATTTTAGACCACTATCTTCATTTTCATTTTCTTAATTCTATACAATAAAATAGTTTCAAATTCATAAAAACATCATCAAATATAAGTTTTACGAAATTTATTTAATTCAAATAATCATTCCAATATTTTTCAAATAAATGTTCATGTCATGGTTATTGTTGGGGTCGGATTTCACCCGCGTTAAGTCCGAGCTAAGACATAACGCCTCGGGACCTATCACCAAATCAGCTCGGGGAACTCTGACTAAACAGCTCGGGATCCCACACGAATCGGTTCGGGTATCCTCACTGCCGGTTCGGGACTACCAACCAACTTGGGTACCCGAGCCCGTCAATCCAATACCCGAGCCCAACTTGGTCAACCGAGCCGATTCTTTTTGACGTCTGAACGACCGAACCCATCCACGGTTCGGGTTCCTAAGCCCGTTCTTCCTACGAATACCCGAGCCCGGTGAATATTTCGGCTCGGGCATAACGTCACATTGTTTATCCGAGGCGAACACCAGGAAGTCTCCGAATCACCCGAGGCGGGATCATCAACCACCCGAGGCAAAGACTTAGTAAATATTCGTCTTCAAAGTACCATTTCCAAGCAAAGCGTCATTTCCGAAAAAGAAGGATCATTTCCGATAGACCCGGAAATGATAAGGAAGAATCTCGAAGGATCAACTCAAATCAAGAAATCTTCCAAGAAACTCCGAAGAATAAGGAAACTATCCCAAAATCCGCGATATTCTAAGCCGACTTCAAGATAAACGGAAATCTTCCGAGAATATCGCTGGAGAGGCGGTTTACCATCCCTATATATAGAGACTCAAGGCTCTCACAAAAAGCAGGCAATATCGCTCTAGAATTTACACTACGCAAAGCTTTCACAGCACAAACATCTTTTTCTTTACGATCAAACTCTTGTACGATCAAAGTCATCTTTTCCTTAATAATATCAAGAACACCATCTTTGGTATCAATTGATTCTGTCGTTCTTTGAGAATTCTCGCAAATCGTATCTCTAAATTAAAACCCTAGACAAATCTTGATTGTGTTAGTTTCGACTTCCACAGTTTGGCGCCGTCTGTGGGGATACTTTAGAATTCTCTTACCCTAAGACGCATAACTCGATTACCGAAAAGAACGATGAACGAAGACGGTCGTCAGACACCACCAGCTGGAGGAGGGAACCCGAACCCTCTGAACCCTCAGAATCCTCAAGCCGATCCGACGATCATAGCGACTCTAGCCGAACTGAAAGACCTGATGGTTAAATTCCAGAAGAAAGCTGACGACCAAGAGAAAGCTAACAAAACCTTGGCGCAGCGAGTCGACGAAATCGCAACACGTGGGCAACAAAAAACCACGCGTTTCCAGACTCGGCCGCCACGAGCTCGGAGGGACTTGCCTGGCATCAACCCAACAAGACTCACGTTCGCGACACCAACCGACAACACCAGAGTCGCAACCCGAGCCGACCCTGCCAGACGCGAGAACCAAGATGATCCCACCGAGCCAAACACAGTGGACGTGACGGACGAGCCAGATGATTTGCAAGACGAGCGCACCCGAGCCGGAGCTAACTCCGCCGAGCGAACGGACCTTACTGATGACGAAGAAACTGAGGAAAACATAAGGTGGGCCGAAGAATCCGAAAGAGAAGACGAGCTAAGCAAGATCCGAGCCTCCCTAGCCAAGGCAGAAGCTGATATGAAGCTCGTCAAAACCCAGATACATAGCGTTTCATCCTCCGCACCGAACATCGACCGAATTTTGGAAGAATCTCGGAATACGCCTTTCACCAAAAGAATTTCCGAAACGACGATGTCCAATCTTGGAAAGTTCAAAATCGACTCTTACAACGGATCAACCGACCCGAAGTGCCACATTAAATCGTTCGTGATATCTGTGACCCGAGCCAGGTTCAAGCCCGGGGAAAAGGATGCAGGTCTATGCTTACTGTTCGTGGAACACCTCAAAGGACCCGCATTAGAGTGGTTTTCAAGATTGGAACGAAACTCGATTGACAGTTTCGACGAGCTGTCGACACTGTTCCTCAAGCAATACTCCGTGCTCATCGACCCCGGAACCTCCGACGCGGATTTGTGGTCCCTGTCTCAACAGCCCACCGAGCCGTTAAGAGATTTCCTTAAAACCTTCAAATCGACGCTAGCCAAGGTCGAAGGAATTACAGATGTAGCCGCTCTTTTGGCTTTAAAGAAAGCTCTCTGGTACAAGTCAGAATTCAGGAAAGAGTTGAATATGTCTAAACCGACAACAATTCGCGACGCGCTGCATCGAGCCTCGGATTTCGTCGCCCACGAAGAAGAGATGGCGCTGCTAGCAAAGAGGCACGAGCCAACGAAACAGGCGCCCCGAGCCGAGAAAACCGAGAAAGCCCAAGCGACACCTCCGGTCCAGAAGAAGACGCGTTAGAGCGGTACGTATACGCATCACGAAGGGTGCAATTTCGCAGGATACCATAACTACCAGATTGACACGCCCCGAGGCCGTGGCCGCGGTAGAGGCCGAGGCCGTGGGCGAGGAAGAGAGTCCTTCACCTGGACAAGGGATCAGCCACCGAGCAATGATCAAGAATATTGCGAACACCACAAAATTTTCG